ATTATAACTGTTTAAAATATTCTGTTTTGTAATAATGCAATGCTTCTCTTTTTATTAATCATCATTACTTGGATTAATATAAATTACAGTACAATTACATTGTCCTGAAAGACAGCAGCAAATTTTACCTAACTAAATTGGATGCCAACCAGTTTACAATTGGCTCTCTCTGAAAACGTAACCCACAGTATTAGAAAATTGAGAAACATGAATCACAAAGCCACAGTTGTGGATGCACTGTCTCCTTTTATTTTGTTTCACATTCATCCTATATCAGTCAGCTGTTGGTCTAAAAGTCGGTTTTCTAAAGTCACTTCTTATTATTTTCAAATTATACTGCCAAACTTCCTTGTTCGTTGTGGTTTTCTTTTTGACTTAGTATGGGTTTCATGGGGATAGTTTGGTTTCAATTTTCATTTTAATAAAATTTAAAACTAGTGTGGCCATTTGATCCAGTTCGTTAAATAAATTCTAGTTTCAGTTTATCCGAAGCCTTCTAAAATGTTCTTTTTGTTCACAATAAGGCTTCTGAAAGTATGGCTAGAGGTGTGGTTGAAATTTACCACAGGATACCAATTTCAGAAATAGTAAAAGAATTCAGGATGGCTAGTTCTGATTTGAAGAGTAAAGTCTGTTGCAATAACACCTTGTAGATATCAATATACCCAATTACTACAGAAAGGAGGGGCTCCTGGGTCTTGAAAATTCAACTAGGTTTTTAAATCCTCCGTTGTCTCCGTCCATGCTCATCAAGACAAGCATTTCATAAATTAGTAAATTGCAGTTTGTTTTTTCTTTTCTCTCCCTCACATTTTAAAATCTGTGATTATTTATTTGTACGGCCACCCAACTATTCTCAGTGACTCAAGTGACTTACAAAAGATAAAAAACCAATATAAAAACAATAAAAAGTAATACTCCCCCAACCCCCTGGCAACAACAATCAATCAATCAATCACTCAAATAAGCCACTTGATGGCTTCCATCCCACTCTGGGGTCTCCAGGCCCATTGGCAAAAAAATAGGTCTTCAGGGCCTTGGAAAGAGTAACAAAGTGGGGGCTAATCTTACTTCCACAGGGAGGGAGCCACCACAGAGAAGGCCCTTTCTTTTTGATCCTGCTAGGTAGACCTTCTTAGGAGAGGGGACCCATAGCATTCCCTGCCTCCCCATTCTCGGGTGGGTTGGGTAGATGTGATAAAGAAAAGACAGTTACTTCAAATAACCTGGACCCAAGCCATGTAGAGCTTTAAAGATGGCAACTAGCACTTTGAATTGGACCTGGAAACAAATTGGTAGCCAATGAAGCTCGCACAGGAGAAATGACACACAGGCACATCTAGGCCTGCACAAAACTATGCAGGCTGCTGCATTTTGAACCAATTTGAAGCTTCCAGTTATGCTTTCTGGATCATAATCCTGTTTCTTTAATTTGAATTTACATAAGTTGCTTTGGGAATCTTTCCAAATAATGACTGGGGTATAGACACTTCAAAAAGTAAATAACTTTCAGCAACTATCCCCAACAGTATTATCATAAATCATATTATGAGATAGTAGTATCACATTGATGTTTCATTAGTGTCAGAGTATATGACACTCTAAATAAATGTGAGAAATTTTATGAAAGTGTGGAAACAGATCTGAATAACACTGAATAATCTAATAATAGAAGCCTTCCTCTAGAAACAGAAATAGGATGCATAAGAATTGAAATATTTTTTAAAAATGCATGTTTAACACCTGGATCCTGCAAAAGAAAGTTGTAGTATATGCTTCAAATGTTCTGAAGCATTCTTTCCAAGCATATTCCCATTTTTTAAGTATCACTCTGAATTTCATTTTATTGAGCGTACTCGCTCATAAAATTTGGGATGGGAGGAACTTAAAAAAGGAAGACTGTTGCTTAAAGTTGTTGTTGGTTTGTTTTTGTATTTAAGAAAAATGGAAACATTGGCATTTTGGATTTTCCCCAAACATGCTGACATCTCCCTCATTTTAGGTTTAGTTAAAACCTTGGTAATGGTAACTACATTCTCTGTTAAAACTAAATTACATCAAATATTTTACTAATGGTCTCCAAAGAAAGCTATGGTTTGCTAGTTTCATTTTGCATACTACTTCCACTATTGAATTCTACTTCTCTTAAATTGAAGAGGATGTAAGAATTTAACACAATAAACTCATCTATTTTTACCCAAAGTCACTACCGGACTACAAGTTTTAAGTTCCTTTCCCAACAGATGTTATTTTCAGGACTATTCTCATTATTCTACTTTTTCAGATGGAGATTTTAGCTTTACTTCTAAATAAGTGAGATGCTAGAAAAATCTCATTCATAAGAAGCACCATCTGGATTATAATTAGAAGATATTTCTGAATAAAATAACATTACTTCTAGTAACTGCATCTTTAATTGTGAAAAGGCTGAGAGTCCATGATACAGTACATTGAAATAAGAACAGATATGCTCCAAAAATATTGTAAGAGTGCATTAACTTTCAGTGCATTAACTTTAGATGATACTCAAAAGCCAGGATCAAACCATCAGATGACACTGTAATAATAGTAGTCATTTTTTCTGCTTATGTTTTTTATATTTGCTTTCATAATGATATATAAAAGTATCAACTCGTGAGACTAAACAAAGAATAGCACTTATTCTATTTTTCTCCTTTTCTTCTTTGGTATAATGCAAGCTTCATGGACAGCACATGAAGACAATACCAAAAAGTGTAGAATGTTGCAGCTAAAATTGTAACAGATACAACCAGATAAAATTATATTACATTATGTTATAAAACAGCTGCCCTGGCCATCTCTTTGATTCTTGTTCCAGTCTGAAGATCTTTCATCTGAAGATCGACTGGGTTCTTCAGATATCACTGGTACATTACAGAGTCCTTGAGTTATGACTGAAATAGATTGTGGCCATTTACGGTTGTAATTGTCATAGAACCATTTTCCAGTTTTTGTGGTGATCATTTTGGCAAAAGTGTTGTACAATGTGGCCACATGACTATGCAGATGGCATAAATGCAGCTGTGTTGTCAAGCACCAAAGTGCAGTCACATGAATGTGGGGAGAGCCCAACAGTTGGAATTTCGGATCCAGTTCATAAGCCCTCTTCTAACAGTCGTTAAGCAAGCAGTCATAAATTGAGGACTACCTATATGAGACATGCAATTGCTTGTTTTGATGTTCCAGTTGTGGAATGCCTCTCCAGAGAGATACCCTTTTCAGAGCTACCAAAATATAATTTTTATTTATAATTTTTGTATAGTTAAGTCTGTATTATGAACTGATTTATAATACTTAATTCATATTTACATATAACTTGAATATTACATCTATACAAATCTATCTATCTAGATATATCTAGATTAAAAATAACACTAAAAACTCCTGGGTATATCCATGGTGAGAAATAAAATATGAACACCAGGAGATTGCAAAACAATTAAAAGTTTTAATAAAACATTAAAAACCTTTAAAAGAATTTAAAAAGGACCTAGCTTTCGTTGGATCCTACCCTGATGATGTTGGTAGGATCCAATGAAAGCTAGGTCCTTTTTAAATTCTTTTAAAGGTTTTTAATGTTTTATTAAAACTTTTAATTGTTTTGCAATCTCCTGGTGTTCATATTTTATTTCTCACCATATATCTAGATATATGATCTATATCTTTATCTACAGTCTCTGGCACTAAACTCTCAGAAATCCACCCAGAATAAGTCTAAATTTTGTTTTGCAAATGTAATGACTATATGTCTTTTATTATAAATGTCTTTTATTGGACAGCCCTTTATTTCAGAAAACCATCCTTCAGATTTATTTTTATTTTTATTTTTAATTGTCTTGCTTTTGCTCTTGAGCTTCCCTTTCTAAAACAAAATGATGAACCATTACAATTTTTTTTTATCTTCATGAACCTCTTTCAGATTTCCTCTTTTCTCAGACTGTGCTTTATTTTTTTTCCCCCAAGAAAATACGGTCACGGTAAAAAAAAACAAAAAACCACGATCATTGGAATGCTGAGTAAGTTTTCTGTAAACCAACTGACCACAGCAAGTTCAATCACGTGACCTTCCCCACGTGCTCGCAAGCAGAACTTCCAGAGCCGGAACTTCCAGAATTACCAGATGGGGAAGATTCTTTTCAACTCCAAAGGAAAAATCTTGACCACCAATCCCGCGCCTGCGTAGCTCCCTTCCCCTCTCCTGGCAGACAGACTCTCAAGGGGACCGAACCTAAAGAGTTATACTGAGAGTGATTTTCTATTAAGAGCTCAGGCTCTCAAATGACAGGGCCCGAGTCCTGCACGTTAGGAGTTTAAGTCCTGAAAGCTTTGGCTGGTTTTAACATTCACTCATCTTTCCGATTTTTTTTTTTAAACAGTAGTTTTGATTCTTACCATAAGCCAGTCAGATAAATATTTTCAATAACGAAAAGGTAACTGTCATGTTATAAGATTTCTAGCTGAACCGCGAGCTCTAATTGGAACCTTCTCTGTAGGAAACCCTCTTCTTCTGTCATGTTTTTAAAGGTATAGGAACCCGCAACGAAGAAAAACAAATGCACGGGAGGGGGGGAAAGAGAGTTTGCGTCCCCAAAAGGTCATAAGTCTGCCTGTAACTCCTGCCTTCCATATGACTTTCAACCAACCCATGGCTACTTTTTTTTTTAACTTGCTGAGCTTGACTACATTTGTTATGCCAGGAGCCAATGTGCCGACGAAGACCCGTTGTTAGACAGCTACACCTTCTTTCTCCACCGTTCTTACCTCTATGCTGCATTCTCACTACAGTGCTTAAAAAAAAAAAAAAAAAAAAAGACTGTTTGACGCTTACGTCACTTGAACTCTCCTCCCCTCTCTTCCTCGGAGTGGCTGGGAGTTCGTCGGTGTGAAAAGCGCAGAACCATCCGAAAGACGCATGCGCGGCCCGATGGGTTGGTTATGTTTATAATCAGCAATGGCTAGTAAAGAGAGGAGGAGGCTAATGTAGTTTCTTGGCGGGCTTCGGACAGTTACGCCCATAGGTAAGTAGATGGCGGTGATGATGGGGAGGAGGTATCGCGCCTTCGTCTGACTGCTTTGCCCTAGAAGCCGAGATCGGGTCTCCTTTTGAGATTGAGGGGTCGTCGCTTCCCAGTGTAACTGGCGCTCGATAGGGTATCACCGGCTTTCTTTCAACTTATGGAACCGACCGAACCCCTTATAGGAAAGATCTGTCTGAGTACCAATAAATGACTAAAAGAGATGGAGGGGTTGGGGGGGGGAATGGGGAGAAAGAGAGAGATAACCTTTAAAGTGCTGGGTGTCTGCCTGGTTTTGCTGGCTTGAATGCCCCGTGCTGTGCTTAAGAAGTAAATATGGATTACGGAATGGGATGGGAAATTGGGGGGGGGGGAGAAATATAATATCTTCAACATAATAGGAAAGAAATGCAGTATAGTATTGGTAACTAGGGCTGGCAGAGATGGTAACTGGAGTCCACTCCAACATTTCTTTCGGGTTTCCAATCAAAAGCTACTTAGTCTGAGAAAATTGGCTGTTTTCCTTTTAGATCTGAAGTTAATTGCAAGACGTGGGTTTCTTGGGAGGAAGAGAAATGAAATCTAGAGGATCCAATATTAATATACATATAATGTATCAATTTATATATTCATATATCAATCAAGGCTCTCAAATACAACTGTATATTATATATATATATATTTCAAAATTTTGGATTGCTGACAATTAAGGGAGAACTGGAATAGCCATTTTGAACTTTTTAGTTCTTTTCAACCAGACATACCCTTCTGAGATTCGAACCTGGGCTGTCTGCATGTTAGGCAGATGTATTAACCTCTAGGCCACAGGCTCTTTCTCACTTTGTCAGCTATGAGACAGGGGAGAAGAATTATCTTGAGTTTGGTGCACCCTGTCGGCCCAAATATTTGGGCCGACAGGGTGCACCAAACTCAAGATATACATACATACATACATACATACATACATACATACATACATACATACATATATTTGTTTTCTGAGGTTTTCGCGGGTGTTTGTATGTAGGTCTTTGGTTATTCGGGTTTTCTCCCGCGTAAAATTGGAAATGTCTTGGCGAAGTTTCGACGAAGTCCCATTGGTCGTCTTCAGGCTGGTGTTTTCAGCTTCGTGCTGAAAGTATACAGTTCTATTTGAGAGCTTTGATTTCTGCCCCTCAAATTGTGTGAAGGTTGAAAGTTGACACTGTGCCCTGAATGTGTGTGATGACAGGAGGTTATTTTTTTCCTTAAGACATACAGCATTTTACAATATATTTTATAATAATGAAAATGCAGTTTATATAAACAGGACTCTAGTGACATATTGTGTTAAATATGATTTATTCTAGTTTGCTATGTATTTTAATGTTTGTATTATTGTAATTGTTTTGATATCTCCCAGTTCAAAGGGTGTTGATATCCTGTCTCTTCAGCTGAATGGTTTTGCAATGTTTGCTGACGTCGTAGATACATATTGACTTGCAATTTTTAAAAAAGTTATGAACAAATTCCAGTGACGTGTTAGTGCTACCAAATTTGGGCTGTAAAAATCTGCATGACCACTAAATAGTAGCTAAGAGAGTTTTCTGTATCTCATTTCTGTCATCCTACTGATTTGGTAGTCCTGTTTGCCACCCAGGACTACATTCAACTTAATGTAATAGTAATATTTTTCGAAGGGACATATTTTAGATGGAATGCCAGATTTCTGTACAAATATGTGATTACTTAATTAGGTGAAAGTCAACCTTGAAGTACGAGACATATTGACTAACCCAGGCTTCTATTTTCTTACAAAACTTCCTTACAGTGCAGTTTTCCTCAAATTGCACCAGAGAGGGAAGTTAGTGGAAATGCTCTGCTTTTACCCCAAATAGTTTTACAATTGTTGGAAGACTATTTCTCTTTTTTTTAATGTACCTACTATTGAAATATTGAAATTCTCTTTCATTCATGTTTTTTATTAGTTGACTGATATTGAGTTTATAAATAGGCTTTTTCCAACAGTTTGATAAGCTGAATAATTTTTATACCACTACTGATTTTTGTTTGAGAGAAAGCAGTCCTATACACATTAAAAACCGTGAACCTCTCATTTGTTTAAGCAGTCTCTCAGCTCCAGGGGTGAGAGAGAAAAAGTCAAGTGATTTCTATAAGCAATCTCTCTTGTGCCTGAGCGCCCCCCCCCAATGGAAAGATTGGAGAAAAAGAAATTGCAAGACAATAAGCAGGTATAGAATGTGGAATATACCGGCTCTTTTGTGTAGCATGCTACATCTGCTAGTGCTACCGCATAGCTTTTGATATGCATTTTCCATTAATGTGCCTGCTTACTCTCTTATAATCCCTTCTTCTGCAAACTTCCCACTCTGAAGGGGAAGGGAAACCAAGTCGGAAACAGAACAATATATACTAATTGTAATGGTGGTCACATGACTGGGGGAATCTGCAAAGATCATAAATGCAAGTATTGTTCATAAAGTTATCATAACTTTGACTAGATGCTGAACGAGGCAGTCACTAAGTAAGGACTAACTTTGCTTTTTTTGGAAGCCTGCAAACTGGACAGTTGCAAAGCCTAGAAGTAAAGTAAGAATCTCATGTAATATTTTATCACGAACTTTGCTATTTATACATCAATTTTAAATTATTTGCTATCTACACATCAATCTACATATCTATATTAAAAATTGCACTTCAAGATTTAGGGCACGGGGATCAAACTAGCCGCGTCATGTGATGTGTTGCGACATATCACGCCTTTGTTTGCATTGCTGGAGCTGGGGTGGGTGTGGCCTCCGCATGATGCAACCCGCACAGGCCGGCAGTTTGACACCCCTGATTTAGGGCATTGAGATGCTTGGTATGAACTATTTTGTTTTGCTTCCTTTTCAGCACACACTTTTTAGGGTTCAATAATGTGACTGCTGAAATCATCATGTCTGGCCTCTGTCCTCCTCCTTCTCCTGCTGTTGCCAAGACAGAAATTTCACTGAGTGGAGAATCACCGTTACTAGCTGCCACATTTGCATATTGGGATAATATTCTTGGTCCCAGAGTCAGACATATTTGGGCTCCAAAAACGGAGCAACAGCTTCTCAGTGATGGAGAAATAACATTCCTTGCCAATCATACTCTCAATGGAGAAATACTTCGAAATGCCGAGAGTGGTGCAATAGATGTGAAGTTTTTTGTTTTATCTGAGAAAGGAGTCATTATTGTGTCTTTAATTTTTGATGGAAATTGGAATGGAGACCGAAGTACATATGGATTATCAATAATACTTCCCCAGAGTGAGCTTAATTTCTACCTCCCCCTGCATAGAGTGTGCGTTGATAGATTGACACACATTATAAGGAAAGGAAGGATATGGATGCATAAGGTAGGTTGGGTTTTTTTTATTGAAATTACTTCTAATACTCCATTGTAATATTTCTACTTGTTAAAACAGTTTAGGTCAGAAGACCTGCCTCTTCTCAAGTGTTAAAATATCACAAGTTCTACAAATGACAAAAAAAAAAACCCAGACTGAGCTCTTGCTTATTTTGTCCTTGGTGTTCTGATATCCTCCATTCTAAAAATAAACATAATTTAGTGAGTCCAGAGATTTAGTCATACTTTGGTAAACAAATGAAACCAGTGAAACTTGTTTTATTATAATCAATTTTATCAGCATTCAACTGACCTTGGGTGTTCCCATAAAAGCAAGCCAGATCAGATCTGGCTAGGAATTGGGGGAAGATTGTGTTGAGTGGTAGACTGGAAAAATGCATTAATAAACCATGTTCAAGAAACTGCCAGGAGCTGAGATTGACTTAAAAGAGATTCTACTTTTAATTTACATAGGTTTATTCAAGAATGATTGATGTGGAACCAATACAGGGTTTCAAAAGCCGAAATAATAATCCTTCAAGTTATATTTAAGAACGCATAGCCCACTGTAATGGTCTGATGTTCTATATGGCAGGCTGGTCTCAATTGTGGGGTTTTTTTTCATTATTTTTGATTTTATTTTGCTTGATTTTATACTAGTTGTAGTGCTATATTGGCTGCCCAGAATTGCAGTGTCAATTGATTAAAAAATATATACAGTCATTCTTGAAGAAAGTAATAGAAGTTCATTACATGTGCGTAACTAATAGGTACCATCTGATGTAATCTTGCTCAGAAATATATATAGTTTCTTATAGCCAATAAAAAAAGTCTTCCTGTTAGAAAAGAGCTAAGTTGGTGCTGATCAGATATTTTGGATTAGAAATCTCCTAAATCCCACTAAACATGAAAATCAGTATGGCATATAATTTGTTGGTCTAGCAGCAGGGAAACCTAGGATGTAGAGCAGGGGTGTCAAACTGCTGGCCCACGGGCCGAATGCGTCATGCCGAAACTGCCCACCCCATTGCCGGCAATGGAAAAAAAGTCACGATACATCACGACACGTCACATGACGTTGCGAGTTTGACACCCCTGCTGTAGAGGGTCTACAACAACTCACCACAGCCAATTCACCATGGTTAATTTGCTGCGGGACAAGAGTTACACTAATATTGAAGAAATCGTTGAATAGAATCATTAAAGGATGCCGAAGGAGGGACAAAATAAAATGGGAATGACAAAAATTACAATTATTTTTAAAATTATTTTAAATAATTGAATTGTTGAATTGTTACGTGCTGAGTTGGCCATGGCGAGTTATCCTGCAGAAAGTTGGCCGTGGCAAGTTGGCCGTGGCAAGTAGATCACCTCAAGCCACAGAAGTGTACTCTTTCAGCCTAACCTACTTCACTGGGTTGACATTAGAAAAAAATAGGAGGAGCATTCATGCCACTTTGAGCTCCTGAATGAGATATAAATAAATAAAATAGGCTGCTAATAGCCCAGAACATCTGGAAGGTCACCCAGTGGCTTCTTCCTAACTGAACATACAGCGAAATCATTTATTCAATAATATATAGTAATTTTTTAAAAAAAATCCCACTGGCTTTTTCGTGTAGGATATGTTAATTATGAAAAACATTTGTAGTCCCTGATTTTAACATGGATTGTTTATTTTAAAAGTTTTAAAATGAGATTAGTTAAAATAAAACATAGTTACACTTTGAGGGAAATGTTCGCAACATAATTCTAAGGTGATTTTGGATTCTAATAATTCTGTGCTCAAATATAATTCAAATGTTTTGCAAAGTGAAGCATTCTTGCACTTTTTTGTTATAGTCCAGTAACATATATGATAGTATTCTATTTCTGACTGCCAACAACAATTTGATGAAGAGCCATGGTGGTGCAGTGGTTAGAATGCAGTATTGCAGGCTGCCTCTACCCATAGCTAACAGTTTGATCCTGACTGGTTCAAGGTTGACTCAGCCTTCCATCCTTCTGAGGTCAGTAAAATGAGGACCCAGATTGTTGGGGGTAATATGCTGACTCTGTAAACCACTTAGAGAGGGCTGTAAAGCACTGTTGAGCGGTATATAAATCTAAGTGCTATTGCTATTGATAGAAAGGAATAGATTGAGGAAAAATCGGAAAATGTAGTTTCCCTTGAATTTTATGCCTGTGTAAGAATCTGAAAACATATTTCTGTGTTTGGTTTACCATGCATAATTTTACTTTATTATGATCTGTTTTGAACACAATGATAATTTAATTTTTTTTTTATAAAATCACATTTATTTAATGTCAAAATGTGCATGTAAAAAGTAAACAGTCTTTATTTGTGTATACTGTTTTCTTTTAGGAAAGACAAGAACATTTCCAGAAGTCTATTATGGAAGGTGCAGAAAGAGTGGAAGATCAAGTAAGAAAAACACATATAACAAAATGCTGACTATAAAACATGCATGCAAGTATGCACGCACACAAACACAAACACAGAGATTTTTCTGAATATCTGGGTAGAAAAGCAATGATAATGATGTTATCCATTCATGATGTTATCAGTTGTGTCCGGCTCTTGGCAATTCTATGGGCCAGGTCTCTCTGCATCTTCCAGTTTTGCACTTCTTCTTTGAGTTGTTCTATGCTCTGGCTGATGTCAGCTTTGATGGTGTCCAGCCACTGAGTTCTTTGGCCGTCTGGTTTCCTTTTACCAGTAACTCTTCCAAGCATAATTGCTTTCTCCAGTAATTCTCTCCCATAACATGTCCAAAGTAAGTGAGACACAGTTTTGTGATTTTGGTGTTATGTGCTCCAGAAAAGCAATATGAAGTTAAATTATATTAAACCGTCCACATACAAAGTGGAAATCTAAATATTTTTAATATTTTTATTCCACAGAAACAACTGGGATGAATTGGGAGTGTCTTTAAGAGTGGTCATTTCCTAATAAAGTAGAACAATTTGTCAAAAGATTTTTTCCCATGTCATTCATCTATCAGAAAAAGAATTGCCAATATCAATGTTAAGTTATACTTAGTTGAGATTTATTACATTATATTGAATAAGAAATGAAGCATAAAAGATTTCTTTTTGTAATCTCTTAACCATAAAGTACAATTATATATTAATTTCATTTCATATTTTTAGCCTGCTTCCATCCTTGATCAGATTACATCAATACAAGTTCAATTTCATTCACCACTGATTTAAAACCTTTTAGAATGAATCTGAAAATTAGTTTTTCAAAATTACCTGTAATTTTTCTTTTCTTTTTTCCCTTCAAAAACCATTTAATCTCTAAATAATCTTTTCTTACAGTTTTGTTTAAATTCAACTACTTGATTGAAATAAAACTTGTATTTACTCTACAGGGCCAGAGTATTATTCCCATGCTGACAGGGGAGGTTATTCCTGTGATGGAACTCCTATCATCCATGAAATCACACAATGTTCCAGAAGAAATAGATGTAAGTCTTTTATGGGAAAGCCCATTATGAAAGGAAGAGAGTCGATTTGATGTAGCAGTTAAGATATGAGGTTTAGAAATCAGGAGACTGATTTCTAGTCCCTTCTTGGTTACCTTGCGCCAGTCATTCCCTGTCAGCCCTAGGAAGAAGCTGACTCCAAAATAGCAATAGCACTTAGATTTACATACTGCTTCACAGTGATTTACAGCCCTCTCTAAGTGGTTTACAGAGTCAGCATATTGCCCCCAACAATCTGGGTCCTCATTTTATCGACCTCGGAAGGATGGAAGGCTGAGTCAACCTTGAGCCAGTGAGTATCGAACTGCTGGCAGTCGGCAGAATTAGCCTGCAGTACTGCACTCTAACCACTGTGCCACCAGGGCTCATCAAAAGCCAAGAAAAGTGCAGGAACTAATCCTGGCAGTCACCAGGAGTCAAAAACTTACTTGACAACATGCACATACGAAGGAACACATACACACACAGACATATACACAGCATGAAAGGAAGCACCTGGCTTCTTCTTTTTACTACAGGTAGTCCTCGACTTTTGGGCACACTTAAGCCCAATTAAGCAAGACTGTTCTTAAGTGAATGTTATCACTTTTCTTGCCACAGTTGTTCAGTGTATCATTGCAGCTGTTAAGTCAGTAACAGTTGTTAAATGAATCTGGCTTCCCCTTTGGCTTTGCTTATCCAAATCACAAGCAGAAGGTGAGATCCCGGGACACTGCAACTTGCCAAGCATATGAATTTTGATCATGTGACCACGGGGATGCAACAGTTCTAAGTATGAAAAACCATCATAAGTCACTTTTTTCAGTGTCATTGTAACTTTGAGCGGCCATCAAATGGATAGTGGTAAGTCAAGAGCTACCTGTATTTTGAATTCTATTTAGGTAAATATTAATGGGCGATATACAAATAATACCTCTGCCTGCTTAGAAATGTAGAATGTATAGATTTAAAGTAAACGCATGTACTTTAAAGTCCAGCAGATGGCTGACTATCTCTGAAACTAAGCCAGGTTCAAACCTGGTTAATTCTTTGGTGGTAGACCTCTTGAGAATTCCAAGTCTATTAACTAGATTGGAAAATTAAAAAAAAAATAGGAAAGAAGACAACGGACTGTTTACACTTCCAATAAGAATACAGTGATGCAATCTCCCCCACTTTGTTTTTTGCCTTCTTGAATATCAGTAGCTGCGATTTTTAGTCCGCCTTTGAACATGTGAATATGTAGGATGGTGTCAGGCTCCAAAAAAACCAAGAAAGACATGCTGAGTTTCTTCTAAGCAGTTTCTTTCGTTATTCCACACCCATAAACCGAAATCTTGCCAAACTAAAGCGATCTGCCTCATTAAAAATATACTCTAAGAACTCCTAAAGAGAAGATAGTCTTGATCCTCTTTCTCCCAACCAAACTATCTAAATTTCACTGCAGGATCTCCCTCCTGGCAATCTATCTATGTTCCACCATAGATGCCCAGTTTTATCATGTGTTGGTGAGAAAGGGTTAGAATATCACATTTAATAGACAGAAACTAAAAATTGGCTTGAAGAAGAAATCGGAGTAATAGTATGCTTCTTAGACTGACAGAAATACTTACTGATGCTGGCTGCAGTGTATTATTTTTTAACATTCTACTATGAGCCGTGGTGGCGCAGTGGTTAGAAGGCAGTATTGCAGGCCATCTCTGCCCACAGTTAGCCGTTCGATCCTGACTGGTTCAAGGTTGACTCAGCCTTCCATTCTTCTGAGGTCAGTAAAATGAGGACCCAGATTGTTGGGGGCAATAGGCTGACTCTGTAAACTGCTTAGAGAGGGCTGTAAAGCACCATAGAGCAGTATGTAAGTCTAAGTGCTATTGCGATGAGAAATTTTTGAAAGTTGTTGAGAACTTTTAAATGCTCGTTGTAATCAAATAATATGTTCATATCTGTGTCTGTGAAAAGATTCTCAGTCATCCAGTCATAGTTGTATCAAAAGTGGTTTTTATTTTTGAAAAGGCAACTGGACTGATTTTATTGAGGAAAAAGAAGAAAAAGACATTTCACTTCCTATCCTGGAAGCTTCATTAGTTGTATTGAATAGTGTGCATATAGATGGAAGAATAATATTGTTATACTGTCAATAATTGTCTTTGCCTTTTCAAAAATAAAAATCACTTTTGATATGTTCATATCTGTGGTTTTCCTAAACTGAATCCTGTTCTCCTTGTTTTCATTATATTCCAGATACATGATACCGTGCTTAGTGATGATGACATTGGTGACAGTTGTCATGAAAGTTTCCTACTCAAGTATGTTCTGTTTTTATTATATTTTTGTGAAAATCCATTGAAAGTGGAGATTTAATGGTAGGCCCAGCTGAGAGGGGACTTGTTGGGATAAAAAGTCTATTGATTAGTTTTTGTTACAAATATCAGATACTTAAAGCAGGTTTTTAAAGAAAGCCTACATTCTTTAAAAAAATGAAAAAATTTTTAAGCACACAAGATTTATAAATATAGGTAGTCCTTGAGTTATGACCATAATGGAGCCTGCCCATCATGGTTGTAACTCCTCTAACAGTTGTAAAATGTTATAACCTTTTTGCGGAGGTTGTTAAGTGAATCACCACAGTCATTAAGTGAGCATATAGTTTGCTATGGGTGCCTTTTGCCAAAATCCAGAAGTAAATGATGGTTTTCGACAAAAATAACATAAAATGTTGTGACTGCAGGGCACGGCAAATGGCTGTAAATTGAACCCTTGTGACCATGAATGGGGAGGGGGGGAACAATCATACCTTCAAATCTGGATCATAAGTAACCTTCAGGTAGGTATGTTAAAAGTTCAGACAATCACTAAATGATGAGTCATAAGTCAAGGACTACCTGCATGGAAATTTGGATATGATATATAAAATTTAAAGGGGGATACATTAAATAGCATTTGTGAAGAGAAGCAATAACAACTAAATGGGGTTTGCGGTTTTCTTACTTCACGCTTGCTTTCTGTTGGGGGAAAATCCCACAAAGAAATGGAAAGCTAGAATCAGGCTAACTTCTGAGGTACTTTTGATAGATGAAATTTGATCATGGATATTATGAACCTGAGCCTAGTAACAGTTGAATTCAGTGAAATGTGAGTCTTCAAGAATATGGCAAGCCATTCTTTTCCTTCTATACAGGTAGTCCTCAACTTACAAATACAATTGAGCCCAAAATTTCTGTCGCTAAGTGAGGCAGTTGTTAAGTGAGTTTTGCCCCATTTTACGATCTTTCTTGACACAGTTGTTCAGTTAGCAATATGGTTAAGTGAATCTGACTTTGCTTGTCAGCAAGTCACAAAAGGTGATCACATGACTCTAGGACACTGCAATCATCATAAATATGAGTCAGTTGCCAATCATCTGGATTTTGATCACATGACTACGAGAATGCTGCAACAGTCATGAGAGTGAAAAACGGTCATATGAAGTTACAAGTTCCGTTACAACTTCAAATGGTCACTAAATGAACTGTTATAAGTTGAGGACTACCTTTATATGAACTCTGGAAATGTGTTTTCAAGTTTTGTTTTGTAAATGAATATGTGTGACCCCCTCAAGAGTTTAGGTTAATGGCAAATACTATTTTGAAAGACTTTTAAAAAATGAGATTCTGAAATAATGTAAAATTGGTTCCAACTTGTAAAACTTTTTTTTAATCACTTTGTTTATCTCTGCTTAATATTCAGGGCCATAAGTTCACATCTGCAAACCTGTGGCTGTTCAGTTGTTATAGGAAGTAGCGCAGAAAAAGTTAATAAGGTATGTGTTTTCTATATGCTGATGGAAAATATTTTCCTGGTAGGACGTTTTAATTAAAATCATAGAAGTAATAATTTTATTTTTATCTACAAAAATACTCCATGCTTTGGCAGAAGCCAAGGGATGCAGGGGAAATCTGTTTAGTTAAATTTTTAGAATGGATTTATTCAGTTTGCACATGAAAACCTGCAGTTTCCAACTTTTGTCTTGAGTTTGAAATTTAAGAGTTTCTGATCTGATACAGAAAATTCATGCACAAGATTTGTATACGAGTACTATTTATATATTTGTTTTATATCCTGCTTTTTATTCAAGAACACAAGGCAGGGAACATTTATCCCAGAACAACCACATTCTAAGGTTTGATCAAGAAAACTAACTTGATTTAGCCCTTAGTATGTATATGGGGAATTTCCTAGGAAATCCAGGCTTGTAAATTAGATTGGCAAATTGAAAATAAAATAAAATAAAAATCTTCTGCAAATCAGTTCTGTAATTCTGCCGTAGATAAAAATGTAACCTTATAAAATGACAAGTAAGAGTTGCCCAGACTCTGTACAACAGAACTATCAATGTATAAATGTTTCCTATATTATTTCAGTATATATACATATATATTTATTACAGATAGTACGGACATTGTGCCTCTTTCTCACTCCAGCAGAGCGAAAATGTTCTCGCCTGTGTAGAAATGAAACCTCTTTTAAGTATGAGTCAGGCCTGTTTGTGCAAGGGTTATTGAAGGTAAGATTGTTTTCTTTCCATATGCATACCGGAAGGTCTCAGTGCTGATTATGAATCCCACAAAATGGTAGCAATATTCAAACTTGCCCTGTCCGAGGTGATATTTCTATGGAAAATATATCCTGCTTGATGGATAAGAGGCAGTGAAAATTTCTAGACATAAAATTTTTATATGATAATGAAATATAACAGTAAAAGATTAAAAGAATATACTTCCAACTTAAATTTATTTTAATGAAGTAACAGAGTAGTTATAGAAAGCAAAATAATATCAATGACGTAAATTATTAAGTTATCTAATCAGTAAAACCTGCTGCTTTTTTTTTGTTTAATGTACATAGCTTGTTTGAGTAAAGGGAAAAAAAGACGTCTTTTTCTTTCCTTCTCATATGCAGAACACTTTCTCCACAAGTTAGAATGTTATTGACACAATTATTTCTATTTTTAATTTGTTAATTACATTATTACCCTGACCTTGCAAAGAACAAAGCTAAAACTTCACTTGCTTTAGATTCTGACCTCTTATTCTTCATTTCTAAAAGTTGTAACATTAAAAATAAAAGGAATAAACCAGACAGTTGAATGAACAAAATGTAAAACTGCCATTCTAACTCTGTCTCTGACTGATGTAAGAAGGGCGGGTTGCATCTTTGCCTGAAGGAACAGTGTAATGTTTGTAACTGAAAAGCTGCCTAGCATTGTGGAGATACAGAGTCAAAAAAATTCATAATGTCTCCTTTACATTTGAGAGTCATGAGCTGAGATTAATGTGTGTTTGGAAAGAAGTCCCAGTGTTTCCATTGCGATCTATACATTGTGATTTTCTGTAAAACCCCTTGCAGCTTGACACGTACTGTGTGAATGAAGAGTCTTCAGTCACTTATTGATGACTAAGAGTAGCTAAGATTTGTGATGAACTAGATTAATAAATGGAAAGCTCAGTTGACTCGACTATTCTGTATTTAATACTGTAGTGTTCACTCAGAAGATACATGTTTTGTGTTCACTAATGTGCAGGGAAACAGCAATTTAAATCCAAGAACTAGCAATCAAATCCCATTGAATTGAAATATGTTTTATTTCTGAGTACCAATTCATATAATTAAACATTGAAATTAAATCTTGAATATTGTCAGGGCAGAAGCTAAATTTTGAAGGACAGCTTTAATTTTATTAAAATAAACAGTGACATTCATTTGTATGTTACATCTATGGAGATTCTCAGTCATCCAGGTCATGATTGTCTCAAAGGTGCTTTTTCAAAAGGTAACTTTTATTTCTTTGTTTTTTCCTTGAAGACATTTCGCTTCTCATCAAGAAGCTTCTTCAGTTCTGACTGAATGGGGGAGAATTGAAGGATTTATATTTCTTGAAGTCACTGGTCATTAGCACTCTTTCTGAGAGTCATTGAGGCCGCTTGGAGGTTTATCTGTGCCTTCAGGTCACCTGAATAATGCATATGGGTGTGGAACCTTTTTGCAACTGTGAAAGGATTGTGTTGTAAACAGGAGATTGTATCCCTCCCCTTCTGTTGAGAGAGGGCTATTCAGTTTTAATGTAGATGGTTTCTTTGACCCTCTTACAGACAGTCCTCTCTGTCCAGAATATGGATTTTGCTGTCTTCAAAAGAGTGGCCTTTGTCTTTCAAATGCAAATGGACTGCTGAATGTTGTCCTGATAGGTTTGTTCTCCTATGTTGTGCCATGTGTTTATGAAGTGGCTGCTTAGTCAGAACTGAAGAAGCTTCTTGGATGAGAAGTGAAACATCTTCAAAGAAAAACAAAAAGTCCAGTTGCCTGTTGAAAAATGGGATATTTGTATGTTACGTTCAAAATGATATTTTGCATGTTTAATTTTTGAAACTTTATTGGGGCAGGATGTGACTGGAAGCTTTGTGTTGCCTTTCCGCCAAGTGATGTATGCCCCATACCCTACCACACACATAGATGTAGATGTTAACACAGTGAAACAGATGCCTCCATGCCATGAACACATTTACAATCAACGACGGTACATGAGATCTGAACTAACAGCATTTTGGAGAGCTACTTTGGATGAAGAAATGCCTCAAGATACCATCATCTATACAGATGAAAGTTTTACTCCTGACTTGTATGTATTTTTATGGAGTTTACAAAAAAAGTTAGTTGGTACTGTCCTTTGTGAGTAAATACAGCAGACATTTGAATATAGATCTGCATTTTTATGTTGGTGGTCATCATGATTCAGATGTACTATCTCTATCCTTTTCACATCTGCCTGTCTGTCTGTCTATGTGTCTATATCTATCTATCTCCCATTGATAGTTGATTATCAAGGAAGAAGTTATCTATCAGCGTCTTCATTTCAGTTCTAATGCTGCTTATTCTGCTTGTTATAATTGATTTATTCTTTATATTTAATCTTAGCTCTGTTTTTTCATTCTGCTTGACTTTATCAGAGCTTATTTATATTTTCAGCTATTAGAATAATATTATTAGCCTAGTGCAGGTTATTTATGTTTCTTTCCGCAGTTTTAAAACCATGCTCGCTTAGTTTCTGAATTATCCAACATGTATTAGTAATAATTTCCTTCTTGGCCTTTTCTAAAACCAGCTTGAAATCTCCCTTTCCATGTGAGGCTCTAATCTGATTTGGATAATCCTAAATACTGTTTTGCTAGCTTGTAAAATTAAGATATGGTGTGATAATTTGTACAATTTATTAAATCTCTTTTTGGGGGGGTATTGTTATGTAGACTGCTCCCTTCCAATATATGGTCATGAGATATGTTTTGTCATGTCTGTTTCCTTTAGTTCTCTGAAATGTTTGTTAAATTTCTTCCCTAGCTCTTTGGCTTTTCTATAACCAGTTTCTTGTTTTCTAAAAAGAGATTTTTGGCAATCTCTTAACTGCATTCATCCTTAACAACCTCTTTGATTTCGTTCAACAGTTCCTCAGGTTCCCTATCAAATTGTCCAATTCCAGTTATTGAAATCAATAATATGTAGACAACCCATTTCATCTTACATTATATTGAGCTTTTCCACATTCATGTTTCTTATTTTCCATATTTATTTGTATCTCACCTTTATTATTATTTTTATAAATAACTCAAGGTGAAGACAATATCTAATACACCTCCCTCCTCCAATTTCCCCCCTAACAACAACCTGCTAGGTGATTCTACTAGAATTGGGGGGGGGGGGTTTCCGCCCCTGCATGGCAAGATCAGCAATTAAACCTCTAGAAGCTTCAATTTACCTCATTATAAACACCTTTAAAACTCTTAAAAGATCCCCAGCTCTTCTTTAGTAATTTGTTGAATGCCATCAAACTTGAGGGGGCCCATCATCTAGCGCTGTATTTTCAAACACTTTACAAGTAGTCCTCGACTTACGACCACAATTGAGCCCAATATTTCTCTTATTAAGTAAGACAGTTGTTAAGTGAATGTTGCCCCATTTTTACGACCTTTCTTGCCACAGTTATTAAGTGAATCCCTTAAGTTAGTAATATGGTCGTTAAGCGAATCTGGCTTCCCCATTGACTTTGCTTGTCAGAAGGTGATCACATGACCCTGGGACACTGCCACCGTCATACATACGAGCCAATTGCCCAGCGTCTGAATTTTGATCACATGGCCACAGGGATGCTGCAACAGTCGTTAAGCGTGGAAAACAGTCATGTCACTTTTTTCCAGTGCCGTTGTAACTTTGAACGGTCACTAAATGAACTGTTGTAAGTTGAGGACACCGCGTACTTTGTCTGTGCACGTGGTTTTTGTTAAATGTGGAAGGGGTTTCCCATTACTTTCTCTTGCAGTGTGACAGACGGCTTTGCTGTGGTCACTAAGGGGGATCGTTCACTTCCAGCATCTTTCAATATTGCTGGTGTCTGTTTGGTTTAGCTGGGATTACCTTCCGGCCTTGGGTAACCCTGCTAGAAATATATAACTCCTGGCAGTCACTTCTGATGTTCTTACTCATCCCTCCCAAGAACAATCTCCCTGTCCCAATGAGATAACAGGCAGGATCTCTTTTGGGGCGGTGAGGAGTGGGCCCACCTTGGTTCACCATCTTGCTTCTCAGAATGAACTACAAGTCGCCTCTGAACTGAATAGTCCTCTTCTACTAATGTTCCTCTGGAACTGGAGATGCCTTGCCCCCAGTTTGCAGACAATATTTGATTCTCAAGACTAAATAATCCCTGATAGATTTGTTCTCTGTGAATTTATTTAATCCTTTTTTTTAAAGCTTTCCAGATTTAACAGCCGTCACTTTTTCTTGTAATGAATTCCAACAGTACATTCTGTGCTGTGTGAACAACAGTTTTCTTTGTCTGTCCTAAATCTTCCTACATTTAGATTCCTTGGATGGTTCCTGATCCTGGTGATTTGAAAGAGATTAATACTTCTTGCCAGATTGCTCCATGTTATGCATGATTTTTTTTATAACCGCTTTTATTATGTCCTCCCTCGTTCGCCTTTTGTTTTTTGTTTTGCAAGTTAAAATAGTCTCCAACGTTCTAGAATTTTCTCTTTGTATGCTTTATTTTGTTCCTCTGTATTTCTGCAGGAATGTTTTCCAAGATGTTCAGCACCAAGATACTTTAGTAAAAGCTTTCTTAGATCAGGTAACTATGTTTCAGTTAATTAAAACTAATAATATGGCATATTACTTATTAAATATCCTTTTTGCATAATTTTTTTCATGAAAAGAGTAATTTTAGAATATATGTAATGTGTTTAGGGTACATCAAGCAAGGCTGGGCAATTCTCCAAGTATTTCATAATCCCTGGAGATTGGTCATGCTTGTTTTGATTTATTGGAGATCTGGACCAAAATATTTTTAAAAAAACAGTTTATAAGTGTAATAAAAATAAATAAAATAAAGGCAATATATGCAGGAGAATGGGAAAACACTAAGAGAACTCTAGTTAAAGGAGATTTTTCATGGTACGATTTTTGTGTGTGCCAATTCTTAACAGGTCTTTCATTTGAAGCCTGGATTGTCTCTAAGGAGTGTGTTTCTTGCCCAGTTCCTCTTAGTCCTTCACAGAAAAGCCTTAACTCTCATCAAATACATCGAAGATGATACGTGAGTTGTAAAGTTAAAGGGAACAATGGGGTTGGCTATCTTGTGTCTTGACATAGCTTTAAAGTTTTCCCGTTCACCACATCTTTGTTCTTCAACTTACAGGCAAAAAGGCAAAAAGCCTTTTAAATCTCTTCGTAACTTGAAGATAGACCTGGACTTAACAGCAGAGGGCGATCTTAACATAATAATGGCTTTTGCTGAAAAGCTCAAACCTGGTTTACATTCGTTTCTTTTTGGTCAACCTTTTTACACCAGCGTGCAAGAACACGATGTCCTAATGTCATTTTAAAGACCTTTTAATCTGGGCTTGTTGCAGCCTCGTAATATTATTCAAAAGTTTTTGTAAAGGGAAAACAATGCTTCTCTTCGTAATCACATGCTGCTCTCCACTGCAACTGAATGTAAGTTTACACTACAGCCTGTAGAAGGAAGAGGGAGGACAATTTGCTGTCAAATCTATTCAAATCTTAGGCAGACTCAAAGGCTCCATTTTGTTTATAGTAAAAGACAATATCATTACGTTTGGTCAAAACGCTAGCTGGAGCTTTCAAAACAATAAAACAACAGAAATGTTTTAAAATGGTTCTCATTAGAGCACATTGGTGTTATCATTTTTGACATTTGCTCATTCTCTATTTCGAGATACTAGACTACAAACAAGTGTCAAATGCTGACCAAAGACCCTAATTTCTATGGGGATTTGCTTTAGACCAGAGGTGGAGAACGATGGCCCTTTTATGACTTGTGGACTTCAACTCCCAGAATTCCTGAGCCAGCCATGCTGAAGTTGAAGTCCACATAAAAGGACCATCGTCCCCCACCTCTGCTTTATATACTACCAACTTTCTTCCTTTTGTCACACTTTTCAACAGCTCCTTGAAACTTATGGTAGTATCTAACTATTTAAATATAGCTGTAAAACACTCTGCTTAGAAAAGTGACTTCTTAGTTGAAATTGGACATGACTGGAATTGGACATGATCCTGGAGAGAATTTTTAAATTAGTAAAGTATCACCAACCATACAAGTACCCAGCAAATCCATTCTGTTGCTGATTATGTTAGGCTATAAGGGATGTCACATTGCTTAATGACTGACAATAGTTGTACATAATTAGAGGACAAAGTAAATGCAAAAGCTAGGCTTTTGCTAAAGACTGGAGTTAAGTAACTTTTGTGCTCTGAATGAAAGCCAAATAAATATACTTACTTTATATTTATGAACTGATGGATGGTAACAAAATTCTGCTTTTTTTCTTAAATGACATCAGCTTTTGCTTGTTTTGTACATGTCTTCTTTGTGTCTGCATGATATTGAATATTTATATTGATTTTATTACGCAGGTTTCATAAAGTAAAAAAATCTAAACATTTGCTGTTACATGTTTCGGTGCATTTTTTGTTTAATTACAGTGAAGGGAAGATGCCAAAGGCAGATATATTTATGTGCAATATGTATGTGTTTAATATGATTTAGGAAATGCACTTGTCAGGTCAAGGTTTAATGCTGTTTTTCAGCATTCCATAATATGAACTGGTGTTTTCATGGAATCCTAGTCATTTTCTTCTGATCAGTTTATGTATGGTGACCGAAATGAATACGTACTGCTTTTACAAAAAGTTTCCCCCATTAACTTTTACATCTTGCGAGTTTCAAACTTTTCCTGTTAAGGGAAATAAACAAGGCAGTCTCTGCCAATCTGTGGCTGTCGTGATTCCCTAGATCTCTGAATCAGATTTTTTTTTCTAAAATGATGTACTATTTTGCATTGGGAAAGCTATCAAAGCAATTATAAATTGATGGGGGGGAAAGATAGAAGGGGAAATCTTCGTACCTCTTAACAAAATATGGAATAATCCAAAAGTGAATATTACGTAACTTGATGTTAAGAATACATTTTATCTCAGAGTAAATAGCTCAGGTCATGGTTAAAATTAAAATTAAGAAATCAATAGTTCAATAGTTGCCATTACAACTATATGTTGTGTTTGGCATTCATGAATCAATAAATAGACAATAACAGAGATGGTGAGCTTGTAACCCTCTAGTTGAACACTAACTACAGAAATTTTACTAGTAATACTCAGGAGTAAGGAATTCTAGAAGTTGTATAGCCACACTTGAAGGATCTTGCCCTGATCGCTTACTCTGCTAATAAGTATTTGGATTTTTCTAAAATACTGATACAGTAAATATTCGAGAACTACAGGTGACTTAGAAGTTTGCACTTTTCAGAAAAAAATTGTGATAGTTCCAGGGATTATCTTAAAACAAATGTATGCAACTATACTTTACTATTGAAATTATCATTAGCTAATTCATTATCTGAATCAGTATTCACTGTTGTTCATGCATTCAGTTTCTGTCTGAAATAGACTTTGAAAAAAGTATCTGGCCTTCTCTTCCTTACTGGCTGGGTGAAGGGTTTGTAGTACTAAACATCTGATGGACACTGGGTTAAGAAATGTTGATTTAAACTGGATGCATTGTAGGTTTTTATGTATTTTTCATGCTTTTAGTCCTTCAAAAAATGAAAGAATACACGAATATGTATACAAGAATGTTACCACACTCAACACACATTATTCAATTCTGCACCTAACTGTATTGTGATGTATTTTGACAAATACAACTGGCATTACAAAAAGAAAACAGTCACTTGAAACAAATTACAATATCATCTTTATTCATTATGGAATGTAAATACTAAAAACCTCACCAGATTTTGATGCACTTTTGTCTTGCATGTTTATGTGACAAAATAGTTATGTGACCTTGATTTGTGTTCCATACGTTATGGCTGAATATTAAATTAAGCTATTAAAAATGTTCTGTCGGCATTTTTAACATTTAAGCAAGAATATATTTCTTCCTGTAAGCTTTAAGCAAATTTACAGCTGCCACAAAATTCTCTTTTCTTCAGGATGATTGAAACAATGATCTTCAGCAACAACAGCAAATTAAGAGTTGTAGCCCTCAATGATGTTTTCCCCCCTCCAAAAAAAAGCTATTTACTACCCATTTTCAAAATCAACACATACACATACAGAGTCATGTCGCATTTTAGGTGCTTGACAGCCAGCTCTCCATTTCAGATGTTTCCAGCGTCCCACAGACATGTAACCACAATTTGGGACATTTTTTTTGCAGGTTTGCAGTGTACGTCCAGGCTCAATTATGGTCATAAGTCAAGGGCTACCTGTACAAAAATAATTTTAAATATTATTCTAAGACCTATAATCAGTCAGAACCGCATAGATAAAATTGAAATCGTGGTCACAAAATTTAACTATACATAAAACCAATAGAACCAGAGTTTTAAATTCCCAAGAGAATAAAACACCTCTTGTGTATAGTTGCAATGGCAATCTCTCCACAGGGGAAAAAAATACTCAGTGGATCACAGTCAAGAAGAGCAGCTGCTCTCTATAATCTCTAGAAAAGATAGGAGATGTTTCAATAGATACTATGTACAGCAGTGGTTCTCAACCTTTTTAATGCCGTGACCCCAACCGGTCGTAAGTCGAGGACTAAACCGGTCGTAAGTCGAGGACTAAACCGGTCGTAAGTCGAGGGCTACCCAACCGGTCGTAAGTCGAGGACTTTCCCTGCCCGGGAGCGCCGCGCATGCGTGGTTCCGCCCCCTGCGCCGGCCGAGGCGTAGCTGGCAAGCGGCAGAGACGGAGCAGGCCGACCACCAGCTGGCCCAGCCCAAGGGAGGTAAGGCACCCGCCAGAAAAGGGGGGAAAAATGGCGGACAGCCTTGCTTGGTGACCCCCATGAAATGGTCGATCGACCCCAAATGGGGTCCCGACCCACAGGTTGAGAACCACTGATGTACAGTATAGGCAGGTCTTCATTAAAGTAGGAGAGCTTTCAAGCAGCCAGATTGCAAGTTTTAAAACAATAATCAAAACTTGTTCAAGTCAGAAATGAATTTTTTTTAAAAGCTTAACTGATTAATACATTCCCTACTTCTACCCATATCAACAAGGGGACTCAATTGTGGAATTCATTACAGATTATTAAGAGGGAACTAAGCCTTCAGGTTAATATTGACTCTTGGTGACTACCTGGGTTGATCCCTGCAGTTTTCTTAAGATTTTCAGAAATGGTTTGCTATTGCCTGCTGTAGAGGGCTGAGAGAGAGAGTGACTGGCCCAAGGTCACCTAGATCAGAAGTCCTCAACCTTTTGTGCACCAGTGACCGGTGCCATGGAGAAAGGTTTTTCGCGGACCAGAGGGGGTGTGGTTTTGTGTACTGCCTGAATCCTGCAGATAGGGCTTTGCTTGTTTGTGTGGCCCATTTGCTGGGATGCTGCGGATCGGTGCCAGTCCACAGACCAGGGGCTGGGGACCCCTGACCTAGATGGCTTCATTCCTAAGGCAGAAATAGAACTTGGTCTCCCTGCTTCTAGCCTAGTTCCTTGACCATTACACCAAACTGGCTCTCATTGCAAATATAGGTAATCCTTGCTTAAAAATGGTAATTGGGACCAGCAACTGCATTGCGAAGTGATGTGGTTGTAAATTATATCACATGAATGTGTCAACAGCATTTACAACAGTCTCATTTGTTTATTTGCTTGTATCCCACCTTTATTATTTTTTACAAATAAGGTAGTGAACATATCCAACGTACTCCCCTTCCTATTTTTCTTCCAACAACAACAACTCTGTGAGGTGACTGGGGCTGAGAGACAGTGACTGGCCCAAAGTCACCCAGCTGGCTTTGATGGCTAAGGCAGGACTTGAATTCATGGTCTTGTTAGATGAATTCTCTGCTGTCATGGCATCCCCCATTTGTGATCGGCTAGCTTCCCCATTGACTTTGCTGATCAGAAGTCAACAGCAAAGATCACAAGTGGTAATCATGTGACTGCAGAACACTGTGACTCAAAATTATGAGTCATCACATGACTGCAGCGACATTGGAACAGCTGCAACTATGAGCACCCTTTGTAAATTTTCCTTGCTCGGTTACATTGTAATGTTGAATGATCCCTGAATGTGTCATCGTTCAATGAGGACTACCTGTATAGCAGTTATCAATGAATTATCCTACCTTGGTTCAGGATTTCATCTTGTCATTCTTGTTTCTGATTGAAGAAAAAAGGTGTGAATATCATGCCAACAATCTTCCAGTCAGCCATTCAGGTTTAAACAGTTTGGAAAACCAAACTACATTTTTTTTTTGTGGTTCACGGGAATTAACATTTGCAAATGATTTTCTTTTCCATATAGCTTAAACTCTTGTGTTCCCTTTTTCTTGTTCATGAGTAGTCTTGAATTACATATGCTGCTGAAAAATAGAAGATTAAGAATCATTAAGCAGGTATGTTTACCAAAAGTACAATGCAACACTGATTAATTTTTAGTGGGCATTCATGGAATTGTGCTGGACAAAATAGATTTTGATCTGATTTGATTAAGTATTTTTCTTCTTAAATAAGTGTTATTCCTACTCCAGTTACACAGCAAGCTAAATTTCTCATACCAGTTAAGAAATTCTGAATTCATATTTCTGGTCTTTTAAGATGAGTTCAAAGGGATCCCACAACAAAAATGAAGAACAATGGAAAACTGAATTCAGAAAATTGATATGACTACTTGAGGTGGCTAATGGTAGATATCTCAAAAAGCAATAATTAGCTATGTAATTTATGATAATTATGCTATTGGCTGCCAGAAGTAGGCATTTACATTTTTTTGCCTCGTGTTTCAAAACAATTTAACCGAATATGGATATTGTGGGAGAGATGCTATGTCCTGTACAGAGCAAAATGTCTGGGAGTACTTCCAGTTGATAACATTTTACTCTATTATACAAAAGAAAAATATTCCAGCTTTTGAATCTGAAAGATGAAGTTGAAGGTAATCTAGTTGAGTTCAAATCCTAGTGATGGCATTTAGATAATTCTTGGCAGTATTACAGAAATGTTCTGCCATTGTTTTCTTCCAAATGTTTTCAGCATGTTTTTTCCACTTCCCACACTACAATATTTATTTATTAAATTTTTGTGCCACTAATATCCCCTAAAAGGCGACTGTATAATTCTGAAATGCTTGAGTATTTCTTCAAATACTAACTCATACCAACCCTGCTTACTGTACAAGATAAACCAAGAGTGGCGAGAGGTTGTTATATGCTAAGGCAGGGCTTTTCAACCAGTGGTACGGGTACCACCTGTGGTACATTGGCACCTGGCAGGTGGTACGCGACCATCCTAGAAAAGTGATAGTGGGGGAGGGGAATGAGCTGAACCGGTGGCAGCACCGCACAAGCCTGAGCAAGAGATGGGTGGAGCTGCAGGGCTGTCGGGGCTCAGCAGAAGCACCAGGATCAGTGCCGCTTTCCAGCTGATTGGTGCTTCGGGGCTGTCAGGGCTCAGTGGAAGTGCCAGGATCAGCGCCAGGCTCCAGCTGGAGTTCGGCGCTGATCCTGGTGCTTCTGCTGAGCCCTGAAGAAGCACCAATGAGCTGGAAAGCAGCACTGATCCTGGCGCTTCTGCTGAGCCCAGAAGAAGTGTCGATCAGCTGGAATGTTGCAGCATCTCCAGGGTCTTGTGATTTACATTCAGATGCTTGGCAACTGATTCATATTTATGACGGTCACAGTGTCTCAGGGTCATGTGAAGTGACCAAAACCTGCTGCAACCACCCAGCAGACGGGGGGGGGGGGAATAAAAACCAAACACCCCCCACCCCACCCTTGCTGCCAATCCTCAACAGAAATGCTCACAACAATGAAAACCTCGGACAGGAGGAAGAGCGCCGCCGGGTGGGCAGGCAGGTGTCTTGCTCGGCTGTGGCTTGGGGGGCACTTTTTTCAGTGCCATTGTAACTTCGAACAGTCACTAAGTGAACTGTTGTAAGTCAAGGATTACCTGTACTTTATCACCTTTTTCCTTTTTTTTTTTTTTGGTCATCAAGTTTTTGACACCTTGCTAGGCGACTGGTGGTACTTGGATGTTGCCATTTCCTAAAAGTGGTACAATGGGTGAAAAGGTTGAAAAGCCCTGCTTNTCATAAAAGGGCCAAGTTTAAGACCCCTACTTTAAAGGACTTCTTCATTAAGACTTCATTGTGTAGTTTTCTTCTTTGCTTTATGGGAAGGATTCATTAGGAAAAAAATTGTAATTTAAAGCAAGAAGCTCAGCACTAATTTTATAGGTAGAGACTATTTCACATGCTTTAGAGCACCCATATGAAGAAAAATACAATGATTATTCAAAACATTGTGAGTACGTAGTTGCTTTTAACTGTTGGGCCAGACTTCACCTAATTTGCTGTTTTTTTCACAGCGTGTATTCTTGCCAATTTTCCAGCTCCTGACAAAGGTTCACAATTAAGCTGTCTCTTTTCATTTCTCAGAAGAAAGCATTGGAGCCCTGGAGAATAGTTAAAAGGGAATTAAGAGTCAAGCAGGTTAACATCACTCCAGAATAACTGGAGATTACTGAATCACAGAAGCATAGTTTTAACCCCCTACTCAGCACAAACATCCAAATTAATGAGCCACTGACAGATGGCTGCCTAGACTTTGCTTGAAGCCATTGTTGTTGTTGTTGTTTTCCATTAGGAGAGAACTCACTACTTTTTGGGATAATTGATTCCATTTGCTTAATATTAGAAATCATTTTCTAATATAGAATATTTCTAATATTCTAAAATCTCTATTCCTATAATTTAAATCCATCATTCTGTGCTCTGTATTCTGGAATTGTAGATAACACATCTTGTTCTTCAAGGAATTTAAAGAATGCTATCATATCCTCCAAAAATCCTTTCTTCTCAAAGCTAAATATTCATAGTACCTTCAATTTT